AGCTCCTCTGTCTCTTTAACATTCCTGCTTCAGGCCACCAAATGCCTCTTCCCACCACTCTGCACAACCTTTTCTACCTCATAGCTTCAGCTTACTCATTTTTTTTCTGCTGCTTTCTTCATTCATCCATGCCCTCCTGCAATCTGTATTCTGGTGGGAAAGAGACACTGCTGATGTGTTGTTTATTTCTCATATGTATCTTTCCTTCTTCAGACTTTATCTGCTCCCACAGTCTCAACTATCACTAGGTGCTGATGATCAGTCATTCCAGGCTAGATCTTTCTCCTGAGCTCCAGACTTCTTTCCAACCATCTGATAGACAGCTCCACTTAGCTATCAACCAGCAACAACCATGTCTAATCATCTTTTACCCTCTATCCACTACCCTCTCGACCAAGAAAAATTTTACTCCTCCTTTATAATCCTATGCCAGTGAAGAGTACCAAGAGTACTAAGAGTACTAGTTAGTCATGCCAGCAACCCAGACCTGTGACTCCTCCCATTCCCTCTGTCCAGATTTCCTCCCCTGACCACCCATACCCACATAATTACCTAGTGATGTCTATTCTACTTCTTTCCATTTTCTCAAGCCATTCTCCTCTTCTCCAACCTTACAACCCCTGTCTGGACATAACTGGCCTTTCTCCCTGTTTCAAACCATTTTCCACAACTGTTGCCACATTCATCCTTCAAACGCATCCTTCTATCATGTCACTCCCTACCTCAAAGTTCTTCTGTAGCTCCTTTGCCCAAAAGACGAAATCCAAACTCCACAGCCTGACACCCATGAATTAGCTGCTGCCTGTATTCCCAGATTCTTCTTATGCCAATGGCTGATCTGGACTATTTCGGTTTTGTTGAACTTAAGCAGACTGATGAATGTGCCACGCCCTTGTGCTCTGCAGCTTTGTCTAAAACTGAAATGCTTCCATCTCCCCATGTAGCCATGCAAGAGCTTAGACTTGGGAATAAAACATTTGGGGTGAATCTCTACCTGCTTCCTCCTGGCTAAGTACATTTCTTAACCTATTCAAGCCTCCATTCTTACCTGTAAAATGGAAATAGCGGCAGAGGCTACCTCACAGGCACTACTGAATGAGACAATCTATACTAAAGCACACAGATTCTGTGCACTCAGTAAGCATTTGACACACGTCATTTAGTAGAAGGAGGAGTATGGCTAATTCCCATTCTCCCTTTAAGAGTCAGCTCAGGCATTAATCTTTATTGCCTCACAGTAAAACTCTGCAAAAAATCTGGACTAAGTACCTTGGGCTTTCTGTCACTTGTCCATCTCTGCCATACACTATGAATTCCTTACAAACAGAAAGCATATGTTAACTCATTTTTTATTTCAAGAGTCTAGCTTAGGGCCTAGGATATAGTAACCTCCTAAGAAATGTTTGTTGAGGGGCACCTGGGTGGCTCAGTCGGTTAAGCGTCTGCCTTCAGCTAGGGTCATGATCCCAGGTCCTGCATCAGGCTCCCTGCTCAGCGGAGAGCCTGCTTCTCTCCCTCTGCTGTTCCCCCTGCTTGTGTGCTCACTCTTTCTGTCAAATAAATAAGTAAAATCTGAAAGAAAAGAAAAGAAAAGAAAAGAAAAGAAAAGAAAAGAAAAGAAAGAAAAGAAAAGAAAAGAAAAGAAAAGGAAAGGAAAGGAAAGGAAAGGAAAGAAAAGGAAAGGGAAAGAAAGAAAAAGAAAAAAGAAGAAAAGAAAGAGAAAAAGAGAAAGACAAAGAAGAAATGTTTGTTGGAAGAGCATGGTATTTTTTGTTTTTTGTTTTTTATTTTTTTAAATGACATTTTAGGGGCACCTGGGTGGCTCAGTGATAAGTGTCTGCCTTCGGCTCAGGTCATTATCTCGGGGTCCTGGGATCAAGCCCTACATCAGGATCCCTGCTCAGTGGGGAGTCTACTTCTCCCTCCCTCTGCCCCACCCCCCTGCTCATGCTCTAACAAATAAAATCTTTTAAAAAAATGACATTTTAAATATTAAATTCCTTGTCTTAACATTTTTAACAAATGATAGCATATACACTACTAAATGTATAGCATATACACTACAGCGTTACCCATAATCGAGGGTCTCGATAAGCAGCTTTTTATGACTAAGATATGTATTAACGCATGGTTTTCCTAATGGATAGAGTGATACAATAAGCAGGATAGAGCTGGATAAACAGAAGGCCCAAGGCATATCATAAAAGACTCCAGGAAAATACTTGTCATCATCTTGTCTGAAGTCAACTATGAGCTTCATCTCAGTCCTGTCCAACACATTTGAAGGCCCATGCATCCTCTAAGCATGGATCTATGTACATCTAAAATAACTGGAGCTCATATCACCATGCACACCTGATACCTGAGTCTATCTCTGTGTCTCATGAACAATGGACAAAAGGCATAAAACCCCACACAGCTATGGGTTTACTCCCTGGTCCACGGAGAGAATGCTCACTGCCTGGGACTGGGACTATATACAGCTCAGGCCACCTGCTCTCCTCCCCGCATCACCCCCAAACTGTCCAGGGCACCAACTAAAGGTTAGAGGTATGGAGGATGACTGATGAAATTCTGTAAACATTTATCTTTCCTGAAAGGAAATGCTAGGTTTTCTGAAGCATTTGAAGACAACCGCCGTATCTATCTGTTCTCTAGGAGTGGGAATTAAGCATTCATCCAGCACACATTTACTGAACACCTAATATGCACCTGACACTTGCCATACACAGGCCCGTCAACTCCTGCATTCTTTCCGGGCCACATCCTATCCCTTCGATGCACAGGGAACGACCTGTGATCAGGTCGTGATAAGGAAGCAGCCTTAACCCTGGGATGCCACCAGCTTATTTGGGCTTTGGCTAAAGTGAGACAAAAAACATGTCTGGCTCTTCTCCTGAGCTCTATTTGGTTAGGGCTTTGGCTCTTGGAAGCTAATGCAAGGTCTCAGTAGCCGAGCTGTGGTTTTGACAGCCATCATTCTATAGGTGGCTAAACTATATCTACATTGCTCAGTCCTGTTGATTAGACTCAAAGGTATTTTCCAAAGCCTTAAAATTATTTTAAAAATCTTTGGGACCAACTCGATCCTGAGGAATGCCTACAAAGACCCACATGAAAATGGACTCCTGAAACTCTATCATCAAGTTCTACTATCAGGTTCATCAGAGGCCTGCAGTTGCTACAACCAGTCTGGACAAGTGGCTTGCTTGGTTACTCTTACTGATCTCCATTCCCATCAATGTACTTACTTTTACTTTTCATTCTTAAGAGACTCACTGCTATAACTGTGTATGCGTCATTTCATATGGTTCCATATTCCATTCATTCACTCCGGGTATGAATGCTTTACACCAAAGGGGCCTCTGTTGCTGCTTACACATGAAGCATAGGTTCTCTGGTCTGTGTTTCTGAGATCTCCTGTACTGTGCTGTACACAGCCTGACAATCAGAAACTTGTAAATGCTTTCTGAAGATGACGTATGAGTCTGTTCCAGAAGGGGCCTACGTTACTAAGTCTGTCTCAGTAAGTTATTCCTACAGGGATAGGCCCTTTGTTCTTATATACTCAATAATAGCCATGTAGCATAAGGAAGAGAGAACATGATCCGTATGCCTCGATACAAAGGCCAGCTCTGCTAATACCTAGGTATATGCCTCCGAATCAGACCTTTTTATTTGTATCCTGAGCCACTTTTGTTATCTGTAAAATGAGTAGCTTAATTTTGGCTTTAATTTCATGAGCACAGGCCATGTCTATCTTGTTTATGGTCCCCAGTATCTAAACTAGTATATGGCACAAACTAGATGTTTGCTGAGTAACTGTAGAAATAAAAAAATTCAGATGATTTTAATAATATCTTTGGTTCTAACATTCTCTGATTCAATGATTTCTATTCTACTGTCAGTTGAGTACGCAGACCAGATCCCACCTTGTCTGTGGATGCTGAGACTGACGTTGCTAAGCTGGGCTTCAGCGCCTCATTTATGACCCAAAACGTATACATACTGCTTACTACAACCTACTTCACCAGCAAACAGGTTTTTTCAAAACAACTACAGGTACTGCTAAGGTGCAGTAAACAAATTTGGTGTTAAGGGTTTGAACAAGAGTTCTGGCGTGCACAATCTGACTTTTGAATATTCACAAAACTCCCGAAATGGTAGCAAAATTCTGTGTCTTTGAGACTACGTACGTTTTTCTGGGGAGTGAGACTGTGGCAATTATATTCTCAGGAAAAAAAGATTAAGAATCATAGAAAATCTGCAGGCATGCGTGAGCAATGGCCCACAACTCCTCATGTGCAAAAAGGAGCAGCACCTCAGGAGGGAGGTGCCTGCAGAGCCTCTGAGGCGAGGCCAGGAGGGGGTTGGGCCACCAGAAGAACGTACTCAGAAGGGTCTGAGGAATCTTGAGAGGGGCTGTATCGGCCGGCGGCCTCGGGTTTACCTGGCGCACCCCTGTAACTCCACTCCTCTCAGGCCCGCCACCTTAGCCTGTGAATCATGAGCACCTTCATCCACGTCTTCCTCATCCTCCCCGTCACCATCGTCGTAGTCAAACGGGAAGCTCTGGTGGCCGAGGGGAGACAGCAGCGACATGGTGGAATTGCTGCAGCTCAGCGGCGGCGACGGCGAGCACACCGTCACCGGCTCCAGCCCCTGCCCCCGGGCGCCCGCCATGAGGACGGAGAAGGAGCCGGAGGAGGGCCGAGACCTGGACCTGCAGCCGGCGGAGGACCGAGCGTCGGAAGGTGGCGAATCAGCCCCCCACCGCCCGGCCGCCCACATTGGGCCCGCCAAGTTCAAACCGGCGGAGGGGCGGCGGGGACGTACGCTCCCAGCAGGCCCCGCGCGCGCCGGGCCGGCCTATCCGGTCGGGCACAGACCCCGCGCTGCCATGGCGACGCGTGGAGCCCGCGAGGGCTTTGTCCGGGCCTGCCGCGGCTTGCTGCGCCCGGGCCTCTCTCGGGCGGCCCTCCCCGCTCCCAGCCCGGCCGGCCGCTGCTGCCGGAGAGCTTAACTCCGCATCTGCGCTCACCGGCGAGCTCCCGCTCGCGGCTGACAGCTCGGAGGGCACGCGTCCCTTGTCTGCTGCGGCGCAGCAGCTCTTGTGGTGCTAGAAATGCGCTGTCACTGAGCAAGAGGCGGAAGCCAAAAATACCCCTGTATCCTTACGGGTCAGGGTTATAAGGATCAGTGGTGATTTCTCTCAGCACACAGCCATATTTTATTGGGGAGAGGAGAGCGAACTTCCAAGTTTCCAAGTGTGTCCAAGAATGCACTTTTAGGACAATCTTCCGTTGTTTGGTAACACCTTGTTTGCCTGGCATCTTAGGGTAACTAGTTTGTCTATGCGTGTACATTTTGAGGTCTTTTTGAGCCTCTCGTTTACTAGGGCCTGTGCTAAGCACGACAGATAGAGGAGTAAAAGCCCTAACGCCACACGTTCCTCATTCTTTTGTGGTGTAGCATAATACCATTAAAATCTTCTGTGATAGACATTTTATTCATAACAAAAATTTTTTGTGGGACCTCGGAAAGAGCACTGACCTCTCAGGGATTGGGAATAGGGATGAAGGTAGCAAGGAAGATGTGATAGATGTGATGGACAATAAAGCTGGATGATTTTATTCCTGCTGACAAAACTGTGTACACTTGTAAATAAATAGGGCTTTGTCCCCCTCATAATGCATATTACTAGTAGAAATATCAGAGTGAAAACTGACAAAGGCCAAAATAGCACACAAAATTTGTTATTGACCAGAGTGATAGAAAATCCTTGGTGAAATTTAGATCTGCAAAAGTTGACGCAGGAGAATTAGATATGGTAGAAATAATAGCAACAAAGGGCAATTCAGAAGGCAGTAGCTACAATTAATAAAATATGACATGGTTAAAACTGTTTTAAGGCAATGCTAGTTTTTGTTACTTTTGTTAAAATTTTCAGTAAAAACAAAATGAAAATGGAAGAAAATTGGACCAGTTTAACTGAGTAATAAAATTAATCAAGAAATAAAACTGGCTTAGTGGTTTATATTCTCTACCCCAATTATTCAATTTTGGCATATCTGGTTAAAACCACTTACGAGAACCTCCCTGGAATCAGTAACAGCATCAAAAGGCCTAGGGCCACTTTAGGGCTCCATAGGAGGTATACTTAAGCTATTCCCAACAGACATCATCTGACATACCTGAAGCAAAGTAGGAAAAAGCACAAGTCTTAGTAAAACAGGAACCTGGATTTGAATCAGTGATTTTTTTTCTTACTCACTTGGTTTCCTTAAACAAGCTGTTTGGCTTTTGTAAGTCCTAACTTACTCCTTTGTAACATAGGGAAATAACCTACCTCCCAGTCATATTATCTCATTAGTAATAAAGTTTCTGGCACAGGACCTGACAAAGAAAACAGTAAATGATAAATTGTGTCATTTAAACTCCCAAACTTTCCTACTTTAACCTTTTGGTATAGGAAGCTAAAATGTCACACACTTCTCTGCCTCCTCAAAATGTTTTATGAAACAAATTATGTCCTTTCCTTGATGCCTCAGAATCCTGATAATTATGACCAACTACTGCATTATGCTGTAGCAACACTGGAAATAATGAAGCAAAGAGATGCATGACACAGGTGCTGCTACGTGAACATAATTGAGTCCCATGGTCTCCTTTCTTAGTGTCTTGTCACTGCCGAGACTGAGAAGCCATAATCAAGTTTGGTAGAATTTTTTTAAGATTTTTTTTGAGAGAGAGAGCAGGAGCAGGGGTGGGGAAGGGGGGAGAAAGAGAGGGAGAAGCAGACTCCCCACTGAGCAGGGAGCCAGACCATGGGGCTAGATCCCAGGACCCTGAGACCATGACCTGAGCTGAAGGCAGACACTTAACCGACTTAGCCACTCAGGCGCCCCTCAAGTTCGGTAGAAATATATATACATGTATAAATAAGCTCAAAAGAAGGCCTCTCCCCTTAAGTTTTTGGGTATTAACTTAGTAACTTCTTACTACTCATTTATTTTCACTCTCATGGTATATATTTGAGATAAATTTTATTTTTTGCTGGCTTTGTAACGTTGTTATAAGAGTAACTTTTGCTTAAAAATCCCTGTCTTGGTTACAAAAATAACATCACTACCAGTTAGCCTTGGAGCAATATATTAGGCAACTTTAAAAAATTTACCCCTGGACATATTGGAGTATTTACAGATGAAACGTCTGAGATTCACTTCAAAATAATCCAAGGGGCAGGTGTCCCTGGGTGGCGCAATTGGTCTTGCGTCAGCTCTTGGTTTTGGCTCAGGTGATGGTGTCAAAGTCGTGGGATTGGGCCTGCTTTGGGCTTCATGCTTAGCACGGAGTCTACTTAAAACTCTCTCTCTCTGAAACAAATAAGTAAGTCTTAAATAAATAATACTAATCCAAGGGGCAGATGAATTAGAGGGAGTTAGTGAGTGGGTGAATGGGGTGGAGATGAAAAGGAGATTTACCATGTGCTGTCGATAATTGCCACATTTGGGTGATGGGTACCTGGGCTGAAGGCTGAAGGGATGCGAGGAGTAATTATACTATTCTACTTTTTGTTATGGGAATTCCAGATATATACTTAAGTTTAAAACAAATGAACAAAACCCAAAAAGCTATGTATCAGATTAAGAGGAACTGGGTGCTTGTTTGGTTTCTAATTTGTTGTGTGTGACTTAGGTATTCACTTAAATTTCATCAAGCCCTCTATTTTCTCATCTGTAAAATGAGGGCTTCATGACTGTGAATATTTATATCTAAGCATCTGGGCAATTTGACGACATCTGGTATCATGCAGGATTTTAAATCCTTTGCTTTTATTTATTTAAGCAATCTTTACATAAAACATGGGGCTTGAACTTACAACCCCGAGATCAAGAGTCACATGCTCCACCTCCTAAGCCAGCCAGGAGCCCCAATCATTTGCCTTTTCTTTTTTAAAGATTTTATTCCTAAGTAATCTCTACACCCAATGCAGGGCTCAAACTCACGACCCTGAGATCAAGAGTCACAGGCACCACCTACTGAGCCAGCCAGGCGTCCCCACCAGTCATTTGCTTTTAAATAAAGATCTAATTCATGGTATTCTCTTAAATTTCACAATTTGTTTTCCATGAGTATGGTTCAGACTTAAGATAGAATAAAATCTTACTTCTAAATACCAGCAAAGTGTTCTTCGAACATTTCTTCTAATACTCTTCACTTAAAAAATGGTTTAATTTGCTTACTTTAGCATTAAGCAAATTCATTAACATACCTAGTTACAAATTAAGGCAAAATAGACTGCTAGATTTCTAGAACTTTAAGAATTCAAAACACTGCATACAATAGTGTATTTCCCACTAGACGTATCGCACATATTTTAGATATCTGCTATTCTATATTTTAAATAAATGTGAAGTTTTCAGTGACTTGAATTTTGGAGGAAAAAAACCTTTTAGCTATACTTTTTTTTACCAAGTTATGATTTAATATTTATCAGATGTGTAAATATACAAACATGATAGCAACTTTAAAAACTTGTGAATAGTTGGCCTTACAAAATTACAACACACTGTAAATAAATCCCTCCCGCATTTTATACAAACTACATGATTTTGATATACAAAGATTCTGTTTTTATTACACTGACAATGTACAACCAAGACTATTTACAATGCAAAAAAAGTATATAAACCACAATTTAACATTTTGCTACTGGCAGCCACTATAGTTTAGGAGGTAGCTTTAATTAAACGAAATGAACAGAAGCCACATTTCCCAACTTGTGTTCTAAAAATAATTTACATAAGATAAAAATTCATTATATGCACAGTATATACAGTTTAATTATTAAACTGCAATCTAGCTTAATGTTTTTTAGTATATCCTGAATAACTAATATGGCAGTGGGTCTGCTATTGATTTAGCATATTGTTCAAAAAACATAACATTTATAACTTTAAGACTCCACATAGTGACATGTCAAAAGTCCATAGATAAGAATCAAGTAAAATTTTTAATTGTTAAAGACCTAGGCCTAAGCCTTATTCCATTTTTCTTTTTCTTTAATGACACATTTGTTTTGTCTCACAAGAACACAGTATCTGAACTGTTGCATAGGCTCTTTTGTGTTTAAATCACAGTAAGGGGGAAATGTATGGAAGCTACCATATTAACAGCACAGGTTTAGGGGAATCTGGCTCACTAAGAAACCATTATAAGTGCTTTGTATCAATAATTACTCCCAATTTCTTCCACCTTGACACAATAATTTACCACTGTTTATCTTCTGTATAATTCAAACTATACATAGGTAACATACCAACAAAATTGGAAAATGTTGGTACAGCCAATGATATTAAGAACTGTTTATGAATGAGAACATTCCACGGAGCCATCAAATCCCTCAGATGCTATTGAAATCCCATATTAGTTAGTAGTTTATCCAAATCTACCAAACCCACACAACAATTAGTCCTTTACCTTTTCCTAGTGTGGTCACAAGACATTGAGGAAAAAAAAAAATCACTGTGAGCACACCAAAGAGATGCGTAATGTCTGAAAACCAAATGTTCAGCTATTCTTTTAAAATCTAACAGTTGTTAATATTGTTTTAAAAACATCTTCAGGTTTTAGATTTGTAAGTCACTTAAACAAAATTTATGATTCTATTATGTCAGAGATGGGACCCGAAAATGCAATAGGGTGATGATGCCTACTCTTCTACCCTCACAGTTCTACCTGGGAGACAATCCCTTTTTTGGCCCTGCAGTAAATTGTCCTGAGATTAATGATGCAACATTAGGTAAAATTAGCAAGACTTTTTCTTAGTTACATAAAATCACATTTTAAAACATTCTTAAAAAAATATTAACAGCTGTTCTTCATCTTGTGCTTAATTCAGAAACAGGTATAAATTTGCTTCTTAGGGATCAGGAAAACAACGTTATATTGCTATGATATACATAAATTCTTTTTCAAGTTATAAATTTGTTCCAAATAGACCACACATTGCTTGGACATTGCATTTTTCATCGACAGACAGTTTAGGCACTTGTTCTCTGAAAATGTCTGGTTTAAGAAATAAACTGCCACCTTCTCCTCCTTCTAAGTGACACACCAGGCAGTGATCACAGAAGTGCTTCCCAGATGAAAGAGCAGACGAGGGTTCAGTCTATAAACGCTGTGATTTTGGTTGATGGGGGAAACAGTTACAAACACATCAATTCAGTCTTTAACTCTTGGTAGATTGTAAGCATAGCGCACCAAAGGGAATCCTCGACTCTGATAGAAGCAGGCTCGTCCACAGGCCTGCACCTGCTCAGAACTGTCGGAGACAAAGGAATCTTCTTCATCTGCATAATCAGAGTGGGCCGACTGTGTGCCGCAGTCGGACCAATAGCTGTCTGGTCTTTGGCAAGAACCCACTGCCAATGCAGGACAGCTGTGTGATTTTATTAAGTGTTTGCATGACACTGGCTTTGTCAAAAGAAAAGATTCACAGCAGTCACACACAGTCAGGTTGCCCTGCAAATGTGAGTACATGCCACAGTCATAGTAGAAATCCTGTTCCACACAGCCAGCTTGGCTACTGATGGAAACCGAAACCGACCCGCTTTTCTTGGTCATGTGTCGCTTCAGTAACTTCCAGTCTTCTTTAAACTTTGGGTTGAAGAAAACATATAGGACCGGATTCAGGCAAGCGGGCAACGGGAAAAATATCAGAGTAACGGACTTCATTATTTCAGGGCTGATGGAGATTGCAGTGATCAGTGGCGCAAACGAGAAAAATGCAACGGGGCAGAAAAAGATGCAATTGGTGAAGATGAGCCACGCAACATGCTTAATCATGCTAGAGTGTGAGTTCTCTGAAAGGTCCTCTTTTTCCAAGTTGCAGTAAAGTTTTGTATAGATAATGGCCATTAACAAAAACGCTAATGAGTTTAATAGCACTAAGGTTACAGTAAATCCTAACGATGGTGTTTCTCCTGTGGGGAATGGCAAGCATAGGGGTGATGCAGAATATTCCCCTCTATGGAAAAGTGGAAAACAGCCTGCCACAGCCGCTCCCAAAAAAGCCAAAAGGGCGGCAATCCGGAACTGTTTGAGAGGATTGCTTTTCCCATTTTTCATTATATCTTTTGCAGATAAGCTTCTTTCGACAGCTGCCAACATTAATAAAAATATGGCACTTTCTGAGGAGAAGATAGCAAGAAACCCAGCTATTCTGCACCCACTGCCAATCTCCCACCAAATGCCAAATTCAGCAAATCTGCCCCAGGACACGGCATCCAGAAAAGTTAAGATGCCGGTATAAGCTCCCATGAATAAGTTGGATACAGAAATCAGGCCTATGAACAATTTGGAGGAAGGCAGTGATGAACAAGACACAAATGTTGTTAAAATGACAAGCAGGTTGAAAAACAACGCAACCAAGAAAATGAACCACACAGTAAGACGGATCATCCAACTTCCCAGTAAATATTCGCAGGGCTTAAAAGCACCTAAAACATGAGAGAGAAATAAAAGACAATTTAGAAAACACCATATTCCCATATGCTATGGATTCAGAGAAGAACTAAAGATGGTTAATCTAGGATATTTAAATGTGCTACCAAAATTGAATTGAACCAAATTGAAAGATTACTATTTCTTAGCTATTTTAGTCATCGGACTAGGCAATTTTAAAAAATAACTGATTTTAGGGGCGCCTGGGTGGCTCAGTTGGTTGAGCGGCTGCCTTCGGCTCAGGTCATGATCCTGGAGTCCCGGGATCCAGTCCCGCATCGGGCTCCCTGCTCAGCATGGTGTCTGCTTCTCCCTCTGACCCTCCCCCCTCTCATGCTCTCTCTCTATCTCATTCTCTCTCTCAAATAAAATAAATAAAATCTTTAAAAAAAATTGACTTTAATTTCTTTTATTAAATATTTGGTAAAGCCATATAGTGATATGCATATATATAGTACAGTATCTTATATATGAAAAGTACTTGATATACTGAAGGCTTGGAATCAGATAAACTAGGGTTTTAATTTAGGGTTCATAACTTGTTGTTCTTCCTTGAGAAAGCAGCTTAAACTTGTATAAATTTCATTTTCTCGCCTATGGATAATAATGCCTATTTCGGGGCGCCTGGGTGGCTCAGTCAGTTAAGCGTCTGCCTTCAGCTCAGGTCATGATCCCAGGGTCCCGGGATCGAGCTCCGCATCAGGCTCCCTGCTCAGCAGGGAGCTTGCTTCTCCCTCTCCCTCTGCCTGCTGCTCTGCCTGTTTGTGCTCTCTACCTCTCAGTCAAATAAATAAATAAAATTTAAAAAAAAATGCCTATTTTGTAGCATGGTGTAGCTTAAGTAAAATTATATACAAGAGGTACCTAAGCAGGTTACTAAGTACATATAGTTGGACTTCAATAAATGAGGTCCTTTTCTTCCTCCTTCCTAGTCCTAATTCAGCTTTTAAAAATTATATATGTACATGTATGTATGTATACAACTAGTTTTTCCCACATTTCTTATGGCTTTCAAGGGCAACCTGATGAAGCTGGTTAAGACAGGTATAATTATACCCACTTTTCATCCAGAGAAATTGAGATGTCAAAAGTGTTCGATTGACCTGACAAAGGTTATTCAATAAGACAGTGAAGTGAGAGCAAAACCACATGGATGTTAAATACATACCAATAAAATCCTGTGAAACTTACACTAGGATTCCAACAACTAATTTAGTAACTAAATTGTATGTTCTAGTAACGGGCTTTGACAGGCTAGTTATGTCACAAATGACAACTATTTTATTTTAAAATTAGTAAAGAAAAATGAAATGTTGTTTACAGAGCACAAGAAAACTATGTATTACAGTTGCCTAAAACACATGTTCTGATTTATCCTTCTAAACTGTCAGGAAGTTTGATACATCCCATAAGGCATTTTAAATCACTGAGACATTCACAGACCTAACAATACATCCCTGCAATATTTATGTCTTGTGATATCCCAAATATCACAAGAAACTTTAAAAAACGTTTTTAATTAAGTAATTAACTATTTTTATTTCCCCCCCCCACCCTCAGGGAGTGTTAAGAGGAAGCTTTCACCTTTATCTCTGTATCTGAACTCATCCTCCTTTCAAGGAAGAAGGAGTAGTAGCTCATCTGACCTGAGAGAACAGTTCACCCTTTTGGAAGGTGGAGGTAATTTCCCTCAAAAGCAGGCTCCACCCCAGCCTCTGTCTTTGAAAACCTGCTGCCTCCTCCAGTTCTAACAGAAGGACCCCACTCTCCGCTACTTCCTGCTTCTGAGTGAGCACATGGGTGTCTGTGTGTTACTACAACTGAGTGGGGAGGCAGGCCTGCAGTGTATCTCTACTGCAGCCTGGGGAGTGAGTTTCAGACCAACGTTCCTCCTGGCCAACTAAGGAGGAATCCTTAGAGAATCCCTGCCTGGTCAGGTCTAGTCTCCCCTTTAAGAAAGCTGTTCCCTTCTCATTGGGTTGTCAGTTCCTTATGTACATCCTCCAGCACAAGGACCCCAGTAAGGCCAGTGAGCAAGCTGCACCCTCTTAACTTCCAACAATTTATTCAGAAACTAGACAAAATACATTGCCTAAACAAATGATTCTTGCCAATTCTATTCTCTCATCTGGTCACTTTAAGTTCATTCTCTACATAGGCACTGTACTAAGTATTTAAAAGAATACAAACACAGTCCCTTAAAAAGCTCACGATTTGGGGCACCTGGGTGGCTCAGTCGGTTAAGCTTCTGCCTTCAGTTCAGGTCATGATCCCAGGGTCCTGGGATCGAGCCCCACACTGGGCTCCCTGCTTAGTAGAGAGTCTGCTTCTCCTCCCTCTGGCCTTCCCCTCTGCTTGTGCTCTCTCTCTCTCTCTCTCTCTCTCTCTCAAATGAATAAATAAAAAATCTTTTAAAAAGCGGGGGGGGGTGGGCACCTGGGTGGTTCAGGCAGTTAAGCGGCTGCCTTTTGGCTCAGGTCATGATCTCAGAGTCCTGAGATCAAGCCCCACATCAGGCTCCTTCCTCAGAGGGGAGTCTGCTTCTCCCTCTCCCACTCACCCCTGTTTGTGCTTTCTCGCTCGCTCTCTAAGTAAATAAAATCTTTAAAAAAAAAAACCTACTTCATAGCATACAAGTTAGCCAATTATTTGTTTTTCCTTTTACAGTAAAATTCCAAATCCATCTTCCCTCATAGATGAGGCCTAATCCAACATTACATCACAACTAAATATGTGGTCTCATTTTAGTAACTTTCCCAAGTTACTAAAGTTTGATGAAATAAAGTAGAAAGAAAAGGAAAAACAAGGTTGCATTTAAGAAAAAAAAAGGATAACACTAAAAATCCTTGCAGATTCAGTAACTTCTAGAACTAGTCCTAGAGTTAAAGAAGCGCTCAGTTTTGCCTCTCAATTTTGAGTGCACATAACCCTCTGGTGAGCTGGTTAACACCAAGACTCCAAGTAATGAAGTCTGGGACTGAGATTCTGTAAGAGATGCCTAAGCTCCGGGTACACAGACCACACTTTAAGGCGGAAGGCCTTATGACATCATCTAGTCCCACTCCTGTTACAAAAAATCACATCTTTCCCCCACACATTTCAGATATATTTGCCTAATGTTCATTTAAAGCAAGAAACTGCAGCAAAATGTGTTGGGCATACCTGTGGAGGGTGTACAGTGGATAATTATTTGACTATGTTCTTCATTTTCCACACTGCTTGTGACACCTGCTACATCAGTGGGACCTGAATATATAACATAAACTGTGTTTAATTCAAGCTTTATGCAATTGAAAAGAACCACACTTTTCTGCAATCTTCTCTCTTGTACAGGATGTAAGTTCAGCTTGCATGAAGCTTCCTAACAAAGGTGCCAATAACACAGCAAATGCCATTTTCTCACATATTTCATATTTACCCTTCACAAATGATCACAATAGCAGAGACCTGAATTCATGCCATCAAGATTGTTCTATTTTTAGAAGTGCATGCACTTGCCTTTATCCTTTGCCACACTGTGGTCTTGGAGGCTAGTATCTTCCGTGTTTGAATGTGCATACGAGTCACAACCCCAAAATGCACAGCACTGATAAGCATACGGTACTGATAAAGACCTGGAAAAAATGGTGAAATCTACATTGAATAACAACTTCACAGACATGCTTTTGTTTTGTAAAAAGTACTTCCATCTTTAAGAGCCCCAGGAGTCAAAAGACCTGACTGTCACATGCTTTAAAAGCTGGTCATTAGCCTCAGTTTCCTCATCTGTGAAAAGAACTCTCCTGTCAGATGACATCATGACTTTCTCTTTCCATATAAGATATGCTTTTAAAAACTGAATTTAAAACAAACCATATTTAAAATCTAGCACTAATAACTGCAATTTAAAGTGAAATCTTATCAGACCCCTTTTATACATGAAATAACCATGCCTAATTTATCATATGATACTGGTAGTTTCACTTAAAAATCAATGTCCCAGATGCTTTGCGACTGTATACCACTAAATGAATGCACTTTGTTCACATAAGTATAGTAAGCATATTTATTCTCTTCTCCCACAGTACTATCCCCAAGCCCTGTCTCCACTGCATCAAATGTCTCTATGAAGTATTAGAACATTGTGTCAATTTTCTGTAGGTTCACACTTATGTGGTTCCTGCCACATTTTTAATGACAAATCTGCTATATAAAAAGCTAGTCTGATGAACGGCTATGTTCTCTCTCTGACAGTCTCAAGGGCTCCAATTCATATTCTCAGAAACTATGGAATAATGCTCATGTTCTATTTTTTACCAAATCTGTGAGGACTGAGGTAGAAAATACTCAAATTATAGCCTCCCAGAGAATCTGGGAACCACAGCAAAAAACTAGCATACTCTCTAATTTAGGGGGCCACCATAACTTCAACAAAAAGAAAAATAAGCAAAAACACACCTGAGATTAACAAAATCTTTTGCTGCTAAGGCCTCTTTTAGCTTGAAGTTGCCAACAAGTTTCAGTTGATTTAGCCCATTCAGGCCTTCCGTAGGAAATGAAGTTAATTCATTGAAACTTATATCTCTGAAATGTGAATGAGACTTCAAGTTAACTCCTAGGATGCAAGTTACACAAAACATCCATACATGTATAAATATCATAAATATGGGAGCTCTACGGGGAAGTTTGAGTGTGCTGAAACAATAGATCTGGCATTCATCTTGCCATCTAAGAAGGCATTAACAATATGAATGCAACTTAGCATTTACACAAGGGAGCAACCGAACAGAAAAATATTTCCAAAGTACAAGGCTAACACACAAGTTTCTGTAGACTATTCATTTCTTTCATGATATTACTGCACAAAATCATCAACTTACAGGTTAGTTATTGACCCAAGCTTGGCAAAAGCTCTGTTATGAATTTCATGGATCAGGTTTCTACTTAGATCTCTGCAATTACAAGAGTAGCATGTTAATCTTTTCAAATAAACTCAAATTGCAGTTACTTTGACCACACTGTGGAATCCGAGGTAGTCACAGTATCTCTGATAAGATAACAAATCTTATTCATCTTGCCCAACAACTTCATGTTTATGTTGAATCCCTCCCCTTCACAAAAATCTATTTCTTGGAATGGGTTCCATGGAGCAGTAATTCTAGTTGGTATCTGTTTCAAAACAGTTGTGAATTTTCTCCACCTTATCATTCTGGTACTAGTTCAAAAATATAAATGATATGATATAACCTTTGGTACTATTAAGTAGGCAAAGAAAAACTCAGCTCCTGACAAAGTTGAAAATAAAAACAGGTTTCATACTATTTGCCTTCTCAAAGGTCAGTGATAAGGCCCCGAGGGAAGACAAATAATCAATATGTAAACAAGAGCATTCCAGAAGGACTTCAGATATCATTCTTTCCCAAGCAGGAAATAAAAATCCTATCAACACCAAAGCTGTGCTATATTCAGAAACACACCCTGAGAAATTCTGATCTTGCAGAATTAATAAAAACAGAGAAATAATCTGCAACCACACAACCACACTTAAACTGAGCATTCATGGAAATTTAAAGGCTGGATAAATTCATTCCATTACACATCTCCTGGATCACAGAACCACAGACAAATGTGGTTCCAAATCATGAAAAGGCCAGCTTTTCATTGTTGTCACTTATCAGTGCTCTAGAAGTGATGGCAGCTAGGAGCCAGTCCCCTTCCTCACTACTGCCCAGACCCCCACACAGTAAGACTGTCAGACACCAGGAAAGATCCCAACCTCCAATAACATATTTTCCAGGAGAAAGCATTTTCAGTTTCTTACTGGGAATCCACTGGAAGACAGGATTCAATATATGTAATTTCACTTCACCTTCAATTTTCTAATTTTCTCCGTATTTTAAAAATGGTCACTATTTCAGCGTATTGTGTTTTCTGCACTCAAGTTCTGTGAAGGCGGGGACAAGGCCTGTCTTAGCCACATCTCGATCCCCAAGTGCTTAAGAGAATATTTGGCACAAATACACACTCAAATACAAATACATTTTTTCCAATGAGTGCTTCTGCTGCGTATTAGCTATATTTGTGACGATACATACCCCAGCACAAGGGTCAGCACATTTTTTCTGTAGAGGGCCAGATAGTAAATATTTTCACCTCTAGGTCATATGGTCTCTACTCCCAGCTATTCAACTCTGCCACAGTATGGTAAAAGCACCTTTAGACAACACTTACACAAAAGGGCATGGCTGTGTTCCAGTAAAACCTAATTTACAAAAATTGGAGGCAGGATGGACCTGGCCCACAGGCTAGAGTTTGCCTACCTCTGCCCTAATGGAGTGGCAAACCTCATCAGTATGACAAGAAAACAAACAAGCTCCATCTCTCAGGTTATACACATTATGCTTTTTCACTTACCAACATACAATAAATACGTAAATCAGCTAAGGTAAAAAATACTAAATAAAAAGCTAAGGTAAAAAAAATACTGAAAGTGGATTATTGATAAAGTACCATGTGGTAAAATTTGAACAATATTTACACGTAATAAATTGTATCTTTAAGTATATCTATCATGGGAATTGTAATGATATATTAATTTATAACTGGACAAAAACTGTATTTGTTTCTAATAATCAGAAAGAAACTTACAGAATCCTCAGAGATATCAGGCCTTGAAAAGTACCTTCTTTTATTTGGTGGATCTGATTACGTTGCAAAGAACTAAAAAAAAAAAGAAGAAGAAGAATGAAAGAAAAAAGAGGAAAAAAAGAAAATTATTTTTGATTTTGAAAGATAACATTTCTTCAACTTTTTCTAAGTTTAAATACTCATTCATAAGTAACACTGATTGATCTTATTGAAAGTAAAGACAGCTGCTACTTCCTTGTCTATAACACCAAAGAGTTTAGACTAATTGGTATCCATCCCAAATTATACTGGGAATTAATGTATACCATCTAAATTCCTTAACAACCCCGCTCAGGAGAGCCGGAAGACAACATGGTAAAAAAGGATCCAGGACAACACAACCATACCAAGTACTGTAGAAAGAAGGCTAGAGGAAGAAAGGGATCAGGAACGGGAGAATTAACGTCTTCCTCTCCCTTCTCCCAACCAACTGCCACCTGAGCTTATAGGTACACAGTAGGCATCCATGTTTAGTTTCCCTCGATAGCCAAGAACAGTTTTTGTTTGTTTTTTGTATACACAGCCCTCCCCCTATAATGTCTCCCAAATGCCTCATAAGTACATAAGAAATGCTGGTTGCATGACCATGCCTAGTGCAATTTGACATTCATTCACAGAAACACCTGATTATATGCATCTATTTCCTTAATGTTTCTAATTTCTTAATATTAAAGTCATTATTTAAAATAGGAAACATTCAGTGAATCAACAATAAACCACAGCAAAAAGAGTAAGTCAAAGACCAACTTACATTTCTTCCAGAGCATGGCAACCATTAAAGCTTGGAAGGTCTTTTATATTGTTGTAAGACAAGTCCCTTAAAACAATGAAAATTAACAAATTAATTTCTATGTCATCAGAACACTAAGTTAGAAGAGCTATACTCAGAAGGACTGAAAGCAGCACTAAGATTTGTAATAAAGAGAGAGCTGAAGAAAAGCAACTATTTTTTTCTAAGACTTGTAAGCTTCTAGAGTACCTCAGTGATATAGCAGGCTTACGATTTGCAAACTTCAAGTACATAATGTTGAGTATAGACAATATAAAATATATTAAAAACATTTAAATGTTTTTTCAATTTTTAAGTAAAATTATTAAAAACATTAGGCATATAAAATTAAATATAAAAATATGGAAAATATATAAAATTACATCTAAGTGGTAGATTATGTGGTTTTTTATATTTTTATATTATTTATATTATAAACAATTTCTATGTTGTTATTTAATTATAAAGCTGTGAGAGGTGGTGTGCATAGCTCACATTTTCAAAAAAAATTACATTAAATCAAATACAGGGACTCAATAACTCTCAGTTAATCCCACTGCAGTGTTTCCTCAGTAGTGGTCACTATGTTTGATACTCCACAACATTTAATGATTTACTTCATCAGTCACTTATTTTGTTACTATCTCTCTCCACTGAATACTTATTAACAGCTTAGTAACTTAATTGTTTGTTCTTGTGACGTTTTTACATCCTTTATTTACTTTTAATTTCCAGGATAGTTTAAAGTTTTTGGAAAGCTCCATGCTTAGCTGGTTCCTGACCCAAGGAAGATTTGGGTTCTGCTTCGGTTATGGATGAAAGAGAAAGACATGGAGAGCTGACACTCCTGGGGAGTCCAGATAAGAAAAATACCAAGGAAGAGCCTAATCTGGTTTTACTTTGTTCAAAGTAAAAGTCTCAAGATCTGTGACATATATATCACCCTAAAACCAAATTGAAATAAACGTTACCTACGCCGGTCACGAAAACACCTGCTCATTTCCATAAAGGGTACAAATAAGACATAATTCTACCCTAAAATCAGCTAATAGCTTATCAAAAATAAAACAATATATGTGATGCTCATACAAGAAGAAGTATAAAAAGGGAAGAGGGACCCAACTTACAAAGTCCTAAGCATCTTTTGTTCTTGGCACAAGTTACTGGATATGCTGCTTATCTTTGTGCCTGTCAAGGTCCTGTGGAAAAACAATGTTCATCTAAGAAATGGTTCAAGTTGAGATGGTAAACAAAATGCTATTCTCACATGGAAAAAGAAACAGATATTTGCCCATGAACTAAAGTCTGTGTATCCTACTGCCTACTTACTCCTTAAAGTCAGGCATGTGGGAAAATGGATTAAGCTTCCATTATGGATTTCATTTTCACAGTAAGGCAGAAAAGCTTGTGACACGAGATGTTAATATTGTCCAAACAATGAGGCTGATTTCTCATGTGGACCAACAGAAAAACACTAATCCACAGCCACAGCCTGACTACAATCACCTGCAACACCACCTCATACCCAAAACATGCAAAGCCAACTTAGCATCCTGCCTCCCAAACCTAGCCAACCTAACTCACCATTTTGAAATGTTCTCTTCCTCCCTCCCTTTCCATGTTCCCGTCCGCAGTCAATACGAATTTCTGTGCTCTCCTCCTTTGTGGTGTGTCCAGCATCTGACCCTCTCTTCATTTTTACTGCTATTATGCAGATCACGCACGGAATGATGCAGAGAGGGGTGGAGGAATAGCAGGCCACCCAGAGGAACGCCAGTGGTGTTAAAGGTGTTCATTTAGCAAGGGGATTATTCCCAGGACCTCTTTGTGGTCCTTCCCATCTCTAGTCTCTCTCACCTTCCTCATACCACCTGCTGCCATGTACTAGACACATCCAAACTACCTTAACAGTCAAGTTTAAACTCCTGAGCCCAGTGCTTCCTGATCCCTTTTTCCTGACATCTTGACACATGTGAAAATCATAACATTTATGTGACCTACTCTGGTAAGGCTCCTTGTGGCTGGAGACCCTTAGCCACCTCAGGCTCTTTCTGGCTGTCTGGAGGGCTGAGGTCAGCAAGAGCTTGGATCCATCTGTACCCCATTCACAGACCATCCACTGGGAAGATTTGCCATAACCAAAAGTTCAACGTTTAATGGTTGCCATTTTAAAACTGTGACCCAAATGATTTTCTAAATTTCTCCATATCACACTGCATTCCATTAAACACATGGAATTCTAGCTATATGTGAGCATCTGTATTCCATCCCTGAGGAAATTTTCAGTATTCCCCATTTTACTAAATCCTGCCTTTCTAAATGAAAGCCCCAGCTCTGGGAAACCTGACAGTATTCAATTTTGAAAACATTACACCGCCTCCCTAAAGCTTTCTCCAATACTCTATCTATATCAATTGCCCCACTTCTGAATTCCTAAATCACTGCTTCGCATGTGGCATTTACTTACTGCCTTACATTCTCAGTGAACTTTTCAGATAAAATATCCATATACCAGGCTATCCTCTACCTGAGCTGACTGAATCCAAACCCAATATATATCCATCTCCACGCATGCTATTCACAAAGAGAGATTACAGCAATCAACACAAACCCAGCATCATCGCCAAAAAGCACTGGCACCCTGCCGACAGGCCTGCACGTTATATTTACACTATCCCTCTTCAAAGATCTGCACTTACAGACTCTCCAGATGGACAGTTCCAGTCAGATTGGGGAACTGCTGTACCATGCTTGCACCTCGAATGACTCTTTAAGAAATTGGGAGAGAAAACATAATTTAAAATAAAAAATTTTCATGGATAATATTTTCATTTTATTTTTTGAATACTTTAAAATTACAGTACTACTATACCTAAAAATAAAATCAGTTTCAATTCTTGAATGTACCTGAAACTGTGAAAATTAAGCCAAGTATTCACATAAATAAGAACCATCATAAATCTTCAGAATTGTCCTTTGGACTTTCGCCCAAGGGAAAAAAAGAATAAAAGATTTTTGTCTTCTGGAGCTACAATAATACATTCTAGTTTTCTATTAAAGCAACTGCACAAATATTCAGGTATGTTTTAAAATTTGTATAATACTAAAAAATAAGTAAAAATTTAAAAAAACAAAATTTGTATAATACTTACAAGGAATGCAGATCAGATAAATTGTGAAATGCTGAGTTCCCCACAAAAGACAGAGGATTATCATACAAATGTCTGTAAAAATACCCAAGAAAAGTAAAGTTTTCCTATGTTCACAAGCCGTCCAACACTACATTTACGTTCACAAGTCCATATATCTAAAAGCCTAAATTTCCATTCTTCATCGAGATGTCTGGCATCATACAGACATGCTTTACATGATTCTATATTAAAACAAACCTTCAGGGGTGCCTGGGTGGCTCAGTTGGTTAAGCGACTGCCTTCAGCTCAGGTCATGATCCTAGAGTCTCAGGACTGAGTCCCACATCAGGATCCCTGCTCAGCGGGGAGTCTGTTTCTCCCTCTGACCCTCCCCCAACTTATGCTCTCTCTCATTCTCTCTCTCTCTCTCTAATAAACAAAAAATCTTAAAAAAAAAAAAGAACCTTCAAAACTACTTACATAGTTCTTAAGAGTGGATTGCCGTCAAATGCTCCGTCAGGGATAACAGAAATAGAATTACTATGAAATAACCTAAAGAGGGAAGAGAAAAATATTTTGAAACACATGTCCCCTTTGAAATAAATTAAAACCTGAATATCTAGCCCTGTTCAGTATTATGTGAAACACAACTGATAACTACATGAAAATTCCAAAAGTGTGAGGAAACTGAAGTTTTAGTTCCATCTCATCCTTTCCAGGACCATTTCCTAATTCTTCTTAAACCCACGGCTTAACCTGGTATCTCTCAAGTCTCTCATACACGCTGAGCGGTTGCTTTGTCAACAAAGAACTTTAGACCATGAGTGAGAATCATAAGGCGTTTTTTAACCTCCATATTCCTCTGTCACCTGCATTTAGTCCTTAAGCAATGCATTTCAGAGTATTTACTGTCAAGGCATGACACACCAGCCCCGTGATGCCATGTACATTCCTATCTCTGCCCTTGACAAAGCCAACATCTCAAATGCTCCCTTAGCCTTTCATTTATTTAAATATTTCCACCCTTTTGGGTGCCTGGGTGGCTCAGCTGGTTAAGTGATCTCAGGGTTGTGAGCCTGGGTGGCCCAGGTCATGATCTCAGGGTTGTGAGATCGAGCCCTGCATCTGGCTCTGCACTGGGCGTGGAGTCTGCCTGAGATTCTCTCTCTCCCTCTGCCCCTGCCCCAATTCATGTGCATGCGTGCTCTCTCTCTCAAATAAATAAAATCTTTACAATAAACACACACACACACATATCTATCCTTTTAACTCCAGTCAAATTCTTTCTCTTTAGCACTACCTTTTCCAATGACCCCAGTTCTCAGTGAGGTCTTTTTCTGGAATGATTCACTTAGCACTTATTTCTACCTAGCAACTGCTCTGTGTCTTACGTGGTCAGCCCCCCCAGTGCCAGTAAGTCTCCAAGCTCCTAACTGGCAAGGACCATACATTATGGCTCTTGTTTCAGCAGTATGGAGCCGAGTACAGAAATCTAGGCTCAAAACTGTCTGCGCTAACATAATCCAGTCTGTATAATCAGATGTGTGTCTGTGTGTGTCTGTGTATTGTGATATATGTAATGGAGCAAAGTTTTCAAATCTCACTGTCAGAACATTAAGTGATGAGTTCGAAGGATACTAAGGCAAAGAGAGAGCAAAACAATACTCACAGCTCTTTTAGGCTAGGAAGGGCTTTAATAGCCTGAGGAAATTCCCCCAAGTTATTATAATTCAAGTCCCTAGGAAAAAAAGGGGGAAACATGTAAGAACACTAAAGAGTACTCACAATTTATAAGGCATTTTGGTACGAATGTATTCCTAAAAAAATCACATCTTCTGGATGGTAATCTCTCCTCACCAACCATAGGGCCATTTAAAACCCTGTGGTTTACCTTACACCTTTTCATAGAATACTGAATAGAAAAAAAGAATCATAATTCATCTATGACTGTTTTAAGTTCATTTTACAAGGTCAAGGAATTCTCAATCACATATTATTCGTGCATTAAATAAACAAGTCATCTGAATGACATTTCTCAGGAAATTCACCATAAAACAGAATTTATGGAATATCCATTTATGAATGACAATAGCCTGTAACCAAGGTTTCTGTTTGGGGTTTGGAGTGACTTCCTGAAATTCTGGCATGAGGGCAGCTGACCTCAGCCCTACTATCAGGTGGATGACCAGAGATAAGTATGAACAAGGGGAAGGACCAGGATGGCTTCCCACAATTATTGTTTTGAAGCAGGTTATAATTTGTTGAAAATGTTACATTAATTAGGAGACAGAAAGGCCACAATGATCTTGATCTGTACTAAAAAGTCTTAATTCTGAGTGTTTAAGTTTTCTTTTATAACCTAAATAGCACGTTGGCATATGATTATCATGGTTGATTTCAGAATGAGAGTAACATAAAATCAAAGGCCCAGCTCTTTAGGTACCTATTTTGTTTTTCTTTTCTACATAGAAAGAAAAATGGCAAATAAAAATTTAGCTGGGAAGAAGAGGTTTCATTTTCATATAATTGGAAGAGTATAGATAGTCTAGTATCAGAAGATCCATCTGGTCTTCTGGTACACTGGTATTTATATACTTAGTAAAGGAGAACTGAGCTGGGAACTATCTTCTTCAAGAGCTTCAACCTTCAAATAGCCATTGATGTTCATTATCCTTTGGTTGTTTAGACAGGAAAGTAGATTAATAAAGAACTAAAAGATTTTAAGTCTTCTCATTAACTGACAACTAACCAGAATAGTCAGTTTAACAAAATACTACAAACCCTGAGCATTCCAATCAAATATTACTAACCCAACTAATTGGGACATTTTCTGAGTTATTTATTATACCACAATAGCAAATACTATAAATCTTCTAATAAAGATCCTACTCTTAATTACACGTAGCTGCACAATGTCTTTGCTCAGTGGTGCAATGCGCAGTTGAAACAGCCAGTATTCCCAAATACTTTAACTAGTATGAA